TGATAAAATAAAATGTTAATAAATGTTACTAAAATGTTATAATTTCAGAAATTTCTCTGTTCAGCTCTGAAATTATACCAAAACAATTATTCGCCTCAGGTTTGGTGAATATTGTAGAGTAATCCCCTTGCCTTCGTCTCGGGGATTATTCGACGATATTCACATCGCCTTCGGCGGATAATTGTTAAATATATATAGATATATAACTGCAGACAGTACTGTTTTGGCCTTCTGGGCCTCATGAATGCAGTGCTGATGCTAGGATGGGGGAGAACCGATATGGATCCCAAACGATCCCACACTTGTGGTATCGTCTAAGCCATGCCAAAGTGCTCTAACTAGAAGAGCCTAGTGAGCTAGGCACAATGCTAGATGCAGAATGCAGACAGTATATATATAGATCAGATAGTGCAGTTCTAGGTTTGTAAAATTAAGATAATGAATATCTACATTTCTAATCATTACAACAACCACTAAAAAAAGAAAAAAAGCAGAAACTTACCATTTCCTTTTTCGAATTCGGACAAAGCCTGCAAATTGGGGGGAAATATGCGAAATTTTAGTAGCCTAAAGGAACAATAAAAATCAGTAGTTTAAAAAAATAATAATTGGCTAACAAGGACGATGATTTAGGGGATTTAGCGATGAAAGATCAAAGCGATGTAGAAAGGGGTTTGGAAAGCTCTTAAAAATTAAAGAAATATCTAAAACTTGTGTATCATGTCCAGAAGAACTACTGTAACTACAATGTAACCGGTCATAATGCAATCAATGTAAATAATTTCCACTACGCGCACTATTTAATTGACCCTATTTTTGACAGGGTAAAATTTATGCAAGTTTATTTACCATAACTTTTTGTTCTTTAAACCTACGAAAAACCTCTGGCTATGCATGCTTTTCCCCACCAAATCACTCCTTCCCTTCCCTAATATGTTTAATGACTGGTCCCCACCTAGTTGTGAATAAACTATTCAAAATCCTTTGGCAAAATATTAACAAAGTAAAGGGCAGTAAACTTATTAAACTGGAGCCCCACTTTGGAAGACCGGCTAAACGTTAGATTCACTGACCTGAGTCCAAGGATCCAGTTTTTTTGGACAGAAGGAAGGTGCATCATGATCTGAGTACTTACAACTTGCAGCAAAGTCTCTTAATGAAATGTAGTGACCACAGTCAGAGTGACAACAACCTTGCTTTTTGTGCCAAATACAAATGTCTGTATTGAGACACTTGTCAGGACAAGGTTTGCACAATGTGCATTGTACAGACACATTCCAAGAAACAGATATCAACCACTGACAGGTGCTACGCAATATGGTCTTGCAAAGTTCTAGATGACTGACAAAATAAAAAAAAAAAACAATACGAAAAATGTGTTAGTCATGCCACAAAGTAAAGGATGAATAAGTTGAGTAGAGAGGATGGCGGGTAGAAAAGGGAGTCAGGTGGAATTTGAATTGAGAGGATCGACGTTAAGTGATGAAAGAAGAGGGTAATATTTGAAGAGGTCTACTCGAAAGGTTGGAGTATGCAAAGTGGATTCCTTTACCTATT